ACAAGCAACTGGAGTAACTGGCTCTGCGGCTAGACGAGCGGCTGGAGCAACTGACTCACGGGCGACTGGAGCAACGGGCTCACGGGCGACTGGAGCAACGGGCACATCGGCGACTGGAGCTGCTGGCTTCACGGCGGCCACCCCCGTTCAACATCCCCCCCCTCCCCAAACCCCCCCCCAACAGCAGCAAAAGTTGCAGAGAGATACATGGCAGTCAGGGCAGGCACAAGGTAGGGGTGGCTCAGGGCAGGGGTGGCTGGAAACGGAGAGGAGAGAGAGGGGGGAGGAGGCAGCTGGTGCTGCAGATCCCTTCCTGCCACCCCCTTAACCTCCAAGCTCCCCCCCTCTCCCAACACAACAACAGGTGCGGCAAGGAGAGAGAGGAGGAGGTGGTGGGCGGCTGGCGCTGCAGAACCCCTCCTGCCACCCCCTCACCCTCCACTATCCGCCACCCCTATCACACTTCCCCCCACAGGCGCTGGTGCTGGCAGAGGCACGGGCAGGGCGCGGGCTCCACTCCCCTGCCACCTCCCCGCACTGCAGAAGCAGGCGCGGGCAGGAGAGGCGACGGGGGGGAAGAAAACGGGACGGGGGGGAGGGAAAGGGCCGCGACGACCGCCTCGAGCGCTGTCCCCCCCGACAAATCTTCCCTACCCGCCACCCGCCTCCTCCCCGCACGGCAGACGTGGGCGCGGGAAGAGGGGGGCGACGAGCTAGGCACGAAGGTGCTGCTTCGCGCACCAGAAAGCACGGCAGCAGCGGGAGCACGGGCGACATAGCGGTGTGGCGCAGCAGCGAGCAGAGTGGCGTCAGCCACCCTCGCCTCCCCTCCCCCCCCCCCCCCCCTCCCCCCCGCCACCTCCTCCCACAGCTGAAGTCGCGGAAACGGGAAGCAGCGCGCCCGCGGCGACATGAAGCGGGGCGCCCGCGGCGACGGGAAGCGGGGCGCCCGTGGCGACGGGAGGCAGGGCAGAGGGGCGACGGGAAGCGGGGAGGCGTACGAGGCTCGCCTTCGTGGCCGTCGCGGCCGTCAGGCTGAGCGCCTTGACGAGCGCGACGGGGGCTGCGACATGAAACTTGACGTGGAGCACCATGGCCAACGGTGGGCCCATTGAAAGGAAAACGTCCGCAGGAACTAACAGCTCTTAATACCATGTTAAAGTAGCTTCATAACTTAGAAGGAGTAGCCTAGGGTTTTGGACTAGGCAAGGAAGTGTCGAGAGGATTGAACAAAGAAGAAGGGGTTTCACTAAAGGGCCAAAGGCCCAATTTATACAAGAATCAAGCAACGAGAGGTGCACCACCTAACAGGAAAGATAACTACACTAGATTATGCTACAGGCAGTTTATACAAATATATATTATTTGACATTTATGTGGAACTGCGCTTATAACGAGGACGTCCCAGGAGCCATGTTCAGCATGTGTCAAGAATCGTCCGAATCGCTGAAGGAGATAGGCAGGGGTCAGTTCGGTGTGATGCTGTGTTGGAAACAAGTAATTTAACGCTTCTGAAGTATCGAAGTATTGACACGAAAACGGAGCAGACTACAGTGAAGCAACACGCGAATCAACAAAAACAACAGCTGGAGGTTACGCGAAGGTCAAAGGTCAGCGACCTTAGACTCGACGAAAAATACAACGCGACAGCAAGGACAAACAACTGACTCAATATTGAGCAGTTGCCCGAGTCGTCACTGCGTTTTCCTCTGCCTGCTCCTCCTAGGTCCTCTCTTCCTGAGGTCCCTGACCCTGAGTCTGACCGAACGCGTGCTGCCAGTCCCACTGTCGCTCGTCTCCTTGCCACCGCTGTCACTGACCCGTCCTTTGAATCTGCTGCTGCTTCTGCTCTTGTTGCTGAGCTGCTTGACTTTGCTGCCGCATGCCGTTATGACTACGCCTCTGCTCTAGTTGCTGAGTCTGTGCCTGCCAGTCCTCCGTCCGTCGGGGGTGAGTGTGCTCTTGGCACGGACGTCCTTGAGGACAGGCAGGAGGACTTTGAGTGTCTTGCAGCTGCTGTACCTCGTTTCGCTTCCTTGCTGCTTGCCCTGAGGGAGACCCGGATGCTCCAGACATCCCGACCCCGCGCTCTTACGCAGAGGCGATTACGGGTCCTTACTCCTCTCAGTGGCAGGCAGCTATGGATGCCGAGATGGCATCCTGGAAGTCCACAGGTACCTACGTCGACGAGGTTCCCCCATCTGGGGCGAACTTAGTCGATGACATGTGGATTTTCAGGGTGAAGCGGCCGCCGGGTTCTCCGCCTACCTTCAAGGCGCTTTACGTTGCTCGAGGCTTCAGCCAGCGACAGGGAGTTGACTACTTCCAGACCTTCTCCCCCACCCTGAAGATGACTACTCTTCGGGTGTTGCTGCACGTCGATGCTCAGCGTGAGTACGAGTTACACTCCCTGGACTTCAGTACAGCATTCCTGCAGGGCAGCCTTCACGAGGAGATCTGGCTGCGCCGACCACCTGGTTTCACTGGGACGTTTCTTGCAGGTACTCAGTGGCGCCTCTCGAGTGGCACGACACACTGAGGACTACACTTGCGGCTCTTGGGTTTGCTCCTTCTACAGGAGACCCGTCGCTGTTTCTACGCACCGACACCTCGCTGCCGCCGTTCTACGTCCTAGTGTACGTCGACGACATTGTCTTTGCCACGGCTGACACCGAGGCACTGACCCTTGTGAAGTCGGAGCTGCAGAAGAGACACACATGCACTGACCTAGGTGAGCTGCGCAGCTATCTTGGCCTGCAGATCACCCGGGACAGAGCACGGCGCACCATCACACTGACTCAGTCACACATGGTGCACCAGGTCCTTCAGCGCTTCGGCTTCCAGTACTCCTCGCCACAGCTCACTCCTCTCAGCTCCACCTTCGGACGAGTCCGTAGAGCCGAGTGGTCCATACCCAGAGCTTGTGGGTTGCCTCATGTACCTGATGACGTGCACACGACCTGACCTCGCATACCCTCTCAGCCTTCTGGCTCGCTACGTGGCTCCCGGTAGGCACCGAAAGGTGCACTGGGATGCTGCGAAGAGGGTACTGCGTTACCTGTGCAGTACGTCGGGCATGGGGCTTGTGCTTGTAGGACGGGGTCCAGTTGTCCTCACTGGTCACGCAGACGCCTCTTGGGTTGACGACTCAGCTACGCAACGGTCGTCACAGGGTTACACCTTCAGCCTTGGGTCCGGCTCGGTTTCTTGGCCGTCGACCCGCTCGTCTTCAGTTCTCAGCTCCAGTTGTGAGGCTGAGATCTACGCCGGAGCCATGGCTGCCCTGGAGCTTCGCTGGCTCACCTACTTGCTGACCGACTTGGGAGAGCAGCCTCGTTCGCCTCCAGTCCTGTACGTAGACAACAAGGCCATGATTGCCTTGTGTCAGGAGCACAAACTAGAGCACAGAACGAAGCACATCGCTCTGCGATAATTCCTTGCTCGAGAGTTGCAGCAGCGTGGCCAGCTTTGTCTTGCGTACGTGGCCACTAGGGCCAACACTGCTGATGTCTTCACCAAGGCACTTCCGCCTGGTGATCATCAGCGCTTTGCTACTGTGTTAGGCCTTGTGCCCACTTTGCCTCACTTGCTCACTGCTTGACCCTGCTTGTACTGTGATCTCTATATATACCTGCATGCTTGCACTTGCTATGATATGATCACTGTATTGTTTTGTTCCCTTTATATAACTCTGCATGTGAACTGGCCTTGTGGCCCTTTGCTTGTGCTCGGACTGTGTGGTGACTTTGTGATCCACCCTGAGCTTGCTTTGCTTTGCTTGACTGGTCTTGTGACCACTTGTTCTCCCCCAGTTTGCCTATGGGGGTGTGTCAGAATGTTATAGTGCTTACATTTGTGTAGGCTATAGTGGGGTAGCCCATAATGGGTACAACCCAATTAGGGTTAGTACTTGTACCCAACTCTTTCATAGTTCATTCATTCTCGTTTGTTATTCTCACAAGACACCCAAAAAAAAAAAAACCGGTGAAGGATATTATTAACAGGTTACCAGCAGGTTGACCAGGGGAGGGAGGGATACCCCAAGGTTCCCGTCGAAGATATTAGTGATCGGAGCGCAGTGCTTGCACTCAGTCGAGACTCGAGCCGTGACTTACCACTGAGGGCACTCACTGCACGGCCGTGTCCATGAACCTAGTCGAGACTCGAGTCGTGACTTCCGCGTCGAGTCGAGTCGACGGGAATGTCTCCTCTCCTCTCCTTCCCCGCACCTCCCATCATCCATCATCCATCGGTCTACCTCGAGCGCCAATGGCAGTGGCGCGTAGAGATTCAAGAAAGACTCATTCGCGTCCACCATTGCTCTCCCACCGTCAAAAACCCGCCACGACACCCCCCTCGATCAGTACGAAAACTGTCGCCGCGAGTGCGACTAACAAACCGAGCGCTACGAAACAGAGTCGTTTACGCTCTCAACTTGAAGCCATTTCCCGATCGGTATTACCGATCCAAGGATTTCCGACTGCAAGCTCCATCTAAAAAATCCCTATTGATTCTACATACCATTTACATACCTTTTCTATACTTGTTGGTATGTGTTTAGGAGGGGTGATTAGGGCTACTATAAAGTAGAAGTTGTCGTACCTTTTTAGTAAGGTCCATTTCCATACGAAAAGGACTAGCTATTCAGTTAGTAAATGTACCTCAAATACAAGTCACTTACATTACATTTGCTTTCCCGACAACATGAAACAGCCTCTCATTAGTCATGCATTTTCTGAAAAAAAGACATACATATGCCTGACCAATGGTATGGCAATTATGCATATTTGGGGTTCCATTTTCTTGTTGAAAGTGGCCCACATGTTCTATAAAATCTCTACATTTGTATCCCAAAAGTAACCATCTGTCTATTTCCCAAATATATATAATACATAAATATATATACAGTAATACAACAGATCACAGCATGGCACTAATTCGCCCGCCCACATCATCCACCCCAGCGCATCCCACCAATCAGTCACCCTCTACACACTATCCTACGCATCCTCCCACTCACCCACATGATCCAGGAGATCACGCTCCATGGTGGCATCACTGTTGTTGGAACCTGTCTTCTTCTTGCCTTTCTCGGGCTCCACCTGGGCATACTCGAACAGGAGAGCAACCGCCTTCTTCTCTGCAGCATCGGGGTCAGCCCCATCGGGGACGAGGTCAGGGAAGCCGCTGCCTGAGATCACCACGGTCTCGGTGGGTCCAAACACCCACCCCTGATACTGCTCCGACCATGCAGGCAGCTGGTCATCCGGGGACTCTACGAGGGTCTTGCGAATGGCCGCCTTCACCTTGCGGTGGTAGCAAGCAATGTCAGCTGCATTCACATCCGCATCTGTAGGAATGCGTTTGCCACGTGCCTTGTGGTGCACCACTGAATATTCAACCTGTTACAACAGGGGAGTACGGATTAAAGGGGAGGGGTTGTGTTGGTTCGGCAAACTGGACATGGCAGGCAGGGGGGAGGTGATAGAGCACAAAAGGCACGCGATGACACCTCCACTCCATGTTCCTGAGGGGTGGGGAGCAGGGAAAGGGATGGACAGCATTAGGCAGAGTGTGCGAGGCGCACCAAGCGACAAGAGGGGCACAAAACTAAGCCCCTCTATGCTCCTGCCAGCGTAAGGGGTGGTGGGAGTGGAGAGGGGCAACATTGGAGAAGGGCTGATGCATGAATTATGAAGTGCAACACGCTGGGCATGGAATCAACGCCTGTCAAGCTCCTGCCAGTGTGGCAGGAAATGGGCAGGGTGGCAGGGGAAAGGGGGAAGGGTGCGATTGGTTGAAGGGAGGGTTGGAGGGAAGATGGTTGGAGGGAAGATAGGCCGACCAACGATTTGAGTATCTGACAATGCAATGCAATCTTCAAAGCAACCAAACTTGCAGCTAAGATACAACACAATAAACAAAGATAATGCAGATGTACAAAAAAAAAAAATCACACTCATACGTACCAGATAAAGCAGATAGGCGATGTGGTACGCCTTCACCACCGTAGCCGACCCGCCAGCACCCTTCTGAAATGCGTTGCGGATGATGATGTCGAAGAGCCCAGTGCCAAACGGGCGCATCGTGTCTTCTGCGAAGTGCCAGCGAGGAAGCCCACCCTTTTCTGCTCAACATATAGAGAGTCAAACAAGGGAGACAAACATGCAATCGTAACTCCTAATGGCAAGGTGGGTGCATTCATAACCATGAGTATCTCAAGCCAAGAACATAGAATGTACAGAGCAACATGGTTAACAGTTATGGTTACCAAGCAACTACACTTACCAAGAGGCTTAACACACTCCAAGTTGTACACTTGGGTTGGTGTGCGCTCCTCGTCACAAACCAGCTCGCTGTAGTCGAATTTCAGGCAGGGATTCACCTCGCAAGGGAGCCCAAAAGCGTCAGCAAAATTCCGGCGCCCATTCATCGAGATCCGTGCACGCCAATCACTCTACTTGCGCGTTGAAGCGCGTGCCCGCGCAACGCAGTACATCATGACTGCTGCCAGCGCGGCAGCCTTGCTCTCGCCCCAAACACCGATGAGGCACCGCATCACCACGCTTTCTGACGGGTACACGCTCGTACCATCGTCCGGTTGGCGAAAAAACGCCACAACCACAGCAAGGTCCATCTTTTTCTGGTAAATCGGAATGCAAAAAACAGAAATAGGCAGAAGAGGAAAATTGGAAACGTGGCAAATCAGCAGGCAAGAAGAAAGGTCGAATGAAAACAACACAAGGCCAGAAAGGGAGGGGTGTGAGGGAAGGGTGAAGAGGGGATGTGCAAAAAGCAAGGCATGCGTGGAAGTTATCATGATTCCAATACCAAGACGGCAACGCCCCTCTGCCATACCCCACACAAACACAACCCATCAACCCCCATTCCACACTTTCGATATGATACTTACGTTCCATGCCTTGCCATAGGCAGGCAATTGGCGCATGAGGATCTGGTCCCTCAACGGGATACCGCTGAGTGACGTGTGCAGGACGACGTCGCACACGTTACCATTGTTCTTCATTGTTGGATACTTCCGCTTCCGCGGCACAGCAGGGGAAACATGGTTGGACGTCGGGCGCTGCAGCATTTCGCGTTCTGGTGTGGCGACATGAGCTCGCTGCGACGTTGGTGCTGATCGCGGAGTTCCATTGGTGCTTGGAGACCCCGAGGCAGGACCTACCGCACCCGTCTCCAGGTTCGAGCAGGACCCGTTGTTAAGTTTCTCCAACAGCGACGAAATCAGCAGTGACTGCTGCTGTGTGGTTCGCTCCAACTCAGCAAGCCGCCCATTAGCAGCCTGGTCAGATGCCGCGGCAACACCCTCCAGTGGGCTCTAAGCAGGACTTTGAGAGGGAAGCGACGCCCCATCACGCTCGGTGATGTTGTTAAGCGTGTCCTGTCGCCCGTCCCCTGCGGCACTTCGTATCAAAGAAGAGGTCATCGCTGCGCTCATAGTGTACTCGGACGTCACGCAACTAAGCAAAAACGACACACAGAAGGTCTGGCCCGTTGTCCTCTCACTCGGGAATATTGCTGTTCAACATCGTTGGAAAACGAGTGCAAAGCAAATGGTGGCAATGCTGCCACTGCCTCATTCGAAATGGAGAAGCAACGTCAAGACAGAGCTGTTTTTGAAATGCATGCAGATCGTCCTCCAGCCACTCATCGATGCCAGCAACAGGTCAGTTTTTGAACAGCACTCCCTGGGTTTTCATTTGTCTCAGATTACCAATACATTGACTTCCGTCTTGTGCCTCCCTGCAGTGAAGTGAGTTGTGTGTGGTCTGACCCATCAGGGGTCAAACGCCTTGTGAGGCCGTTGTTCTATAGCTATCCTTGCGACTACCCGGAAAGCTGCAATGTGACAAGCACATTCCAGCACGGTAGCAACCGGCCGTGCTCTATGTGTTACGCGTTGGGTGCTGAGTGCGACAACTTGACAAAAAAAATCAAGTCGAGGAACCCAAAGGAGCAACGGTTTCTGATGGATAAATACAAGATGTTATACCAAGCAGGGAAGACTTTGGCTAAGGATTATGCCGCGATGTGGGCCTCATTCCCTTTTCACGTACGTTTACTGCCTTCCCTAAACTGTTTTTTTAGTGTTTGTCCTTTTACTCTGTTTTTCAAGTTTCTACCTGACCAAGGAAGCCAAACCCCACTGCAGACATTCATTTGGGACTTCAAATATGCCAACACACCATGGGGTAACCCATACCTGGCGCTCATGCCTGATGTCCTTCACCAGGCGGACGTTGGGGTGTGGATGCACATTCGTGACGCCATAGCCACACTCGACAACGCAAAGAACGGCAAGCTAGACGAGTTAGTGCTTCCATTGCCTTGCCCTGAATCTGCCCTCAGATTGCTATCTCCATTGCCTTGCCCTGAATCTGCCCTCAGATTACTAATCTGCCTTTCCAATCCTTCACCCTCGTATGGCAAATCCCCCCAAGCCACCAAACCGTCCTTGCTATTTTGTTGAAAATTTTTGCCTCCGCTCTTGCTGCCACATACAGGAGGATGAAGTGGCTATGGAAGCATGGGCGGATAGCCGGCTTGAATCTGCCCGTTCCAGGGACGTATTTCCAATCCGGAGCTCGCGTCTCTGCTGCTGAACACCGTGTAGTGATGCAAGTAGCAATCTTCATTTTGGAAGGGCTTGTCGATAAAGTGCATATTGATGCAGTGCAGGCATTCTTGCGCTGGTACAAGGCCACCTTCCGCCCGCGCTATCACATTGACGAAAGCCTTGACAATGTGGATCACCTTGCGCAAAGGTGGGACTTTTGTTTCCCTTTGTCCGCTTCAGTGTCATCATGAGCAGCCCTTCTCACTTTGAGCTGACCATGTTTGCATGTGCTGCCCATGTTTGCATGTGCTGCCCATGTTTGCATGTGCTGCCCATGTTTGCATGTGCTGCCCATGTTTGCATGTGCTGCCTTTCCTGGCAGAACTAATCATCCTACCTTGGTTCTCAGGTCTTTTCCCTCCACCACCATAACTTCGTGCTCTGACTTCATTCCATCCCCCCTCCCCCCACAACTGCTCCAGGATGATAACGAAACTGAAGGAGGCCTTTCCTACCCAGGCCTCTGCCTGGAAGGTTGTGAAAGTGCACATGGTGGTGCACTATTCTGATGCGATTCGGAGGGGGGTTTTGCCAGAGGAGTACTCAACGAATATGTATGAACATTTTCACAAAGTCACAGTGAAAAGACCGTACCGTGCATCAAACCGTCGCCAATGGACCGAGTCGATTATCAAAAGTAATCAATTCCTATCGATGCTAGCACAGGTGGAAAGTGACATTCATGAGGAACGCGACTACAATTGTGCCTTCTACAAGGTATGCTTTGGATACTAAACCTTTTGACACGAATCTGTTGTTGTTATCTTTCTGGCTTAAACAACACCCTGGTCGCTGTTAATGCTGTTTAACCTTGTATCTTTCAGGCGGACACAACCGGGCAGCGCATCTTTTTGAGGACCCATGTGGTCATGCACATGGCTGGTAGCACGTATCGCCGAAGCAGCACAGACCGGTTTGCACTGTACAACTCAGCACTGGGAGGCTGCCTGGATACCCTGCAGGAGGACCTCAAGACGGCTGGCATCACGTCCCCAACCCTCCACGTAAGCTCACAATTTCTCCCTCCTCCCCATTTTCTCTAACTACCCTTGCCTGTTGTTTTCACTCATATACCGTCCCTTGACAGTTACTGCTTTTCAAAGGCATGCCTACCTCAACCCTCCCCTCAACCTTCCCTCTCCAGTCTGGACCTAAAAATCCTCGCTCTTAAACCACCCACCCCCCCACTCCTCCGAATCGTACCTCTCCTCTCTGGCCTGCAACCGTCAATCTCATCACCTATCATCACCCCTCACACTTCCCTCTCCTCTCTGGACTGCTATGTCACATTCATCCCCCACTCCCTCACACTTCCCTCTCCTCTCTGGACTGCTATGTCACATTCATCCCCCACTCCCTCACACTTCCCTCTCCTCTCTGGACTGCTATGTCACATTCATCCCCCATTCCCTCACACTTGCCTCTCCTCTCTGGACTGCTATGTCACATTCATCCCCCACTCCCTCACACTTCCCTCTCCTCTCTGGACTGCTATGTCACATTCATCCCCCACTCCCTCACACTTCCCTCTCCTCTCTGGACTGCTATGTCACATTCATCCCCCATTCCCTCACACTTGCCTCTCCTCTCTGGACTGCTATGTCACATTCATCCCCCAATCCCTCACAATTCCATCTCCTCTCTGGACTGCTGTGTCACATTCATCCCCCACTCCCTCACACTTCCCTCTCCTCTCTGGACTGCTATGTCACATTCATCCCCCACTCCCTCACACTTGCCTCTCCTTTCTGGACTGCGATGTCACATTCATCCCCCACTCCCTCACACTTCCCTCTCCTCTCTGGAATGCTATGTCACATTCATCCCCCACTCCCTCACACTTCCCTCTCCTCTCTGGACTGCTATGTCACATTCATCCCCCACTCCCTCACACTTGCCTCTCCTCTCTGGACTGCTGTGTCACATTCATCCCCCACTCCCTCACACTTCCCTCTCCTCTCTGGACTGCTATGTCACATTCATCCCCCACTCCCTCACACTTGCCTCTCCTTTCTGGACTGCGATGTCACATTCATCCCCCACTCCCTCACACTTCCCTCTCCTCTCTGGAATGCTATGTCACATTCATCCCCCACTCCCTCACACTTCCCTCTCCTCTCTGGACTGCTATGTCACATTCATCCCCCACTCCCTCACACTTGCCTCTCCTCTCTGGACTGCTATGTCACATTCATCCCCCATTCCCTCACACTTGCCTCTCCTCTCTGGACTGCTATGTCACATTCATCCCCCACTCCCTCACACTTCCCTCTCCTCTCTGGACTGCTATGTCACATTCATCCCCCACTCCCTCACACTTCCCTCTCCTCTCTGGACTGCTATGTCACATTCATCCCCCATTCCCTCACACTTGCCTCTCCTCTCTGGACTGCTATGTCACATTCATCCCCCACTCCCTCACACTTCCCTCTTCTCTCTGGACTGCTATGTCACATTCATCCCCCACTCCCTCACACTTCCCTCTCCTCTCTGGACTGCTATGTCACATTCATCCCCCACTCCCTCACACTTCCCTCTCCTCTCCGGACTGCTATGTCACATTCATCCCCCACTCTCTGGACTGCGATCTCCCTGCCATGCGATCTCCCTGCCATGCGATCTCCCTGCCATGGGATCTCCCTGCCATGGGATCTCCCTGCCCTCATCTCCCCACCCTGATATCTTCCTTGCCTTGTATTTCCTTCTGTTTCCTCTGAATTCGTTTGCCTTTTGTTCCTCATCTTCAGTGTCTTTGTTCTCCCTCCTTTCCGCAAGGCTCAGTGCTGCTCGCCTTTCCAGCTGTGCAGAGTGCTGCTGACGTGGAGGCAGTGCGGAATGAGCTGGCATTCATGGAGAAACTCAAGGGACACATCAGCATTTTTCGGATGAAGCAGTCTGCCGACACGCACAGGGTATGTTACCCTTGTCCGTTAAATGTTTGAGTAACGACTTCTGGTGCTCAAACCTTGTGATGTGCATGAGTGAGTATTGCTTGCACCTACTTCTGATACTTCAAACTTGACTCTCTAATGCAAGACCTTCTGTTGCCCTTCTGTGATTTCCTGTAGCTGTAGTTGCTACACTCCTAGCACGCTCACCCCTTTCTTTGTTCTCTTTTCCCTTGTCTCTCTCCATCTCCCCTTACCCCAATACGACCACCCCTCCCTCCCCCCCACCAGCACGTGCACGTGGTGATGGAGCTCTGTGAGGGGGGAGACCTGTTTGACCGCATTGACTCGCACGGAAGGCTCTCGGAACCTTCTGGAGTGCGCATATTCCACGCCAAACCTGGGAACGTGCTTATATTGAAATGCTTATTACGAGGACGTTCACAGAGGCGTGCTTACCATGTGTCCAGGATATGCTGGAAGCATCAAAATGATCGACTTGATTCATAGTATACAATATATGATATATCGTGGGGCTTCACCTCAGGTCCTCAGCCCAAAACTGGTCTTAAGCTTTCTTTCTGAAGGAACTTGCTTTATTCTTCTGTACAGTGTGTACCAACACCTTGAGTAATGTAAGAAAATAGCGCAAAATTGATTATGTAATTTTTTCAGTCATGTGGGATTGTGAAGGCAAACGGTTGGTAGATGACGATTCAAAATGAATCTAAGTTGCATGTTACTCCCTTTTGTATGTCTGTTTTGCCTGAAGAGAGGTTGCCTGGTTGATAGTCGACTTGAGAAGATCTCTTGGGGATTTGAACTCCTGTGTGCCCGTTACATGTTTTATACCTGTCATAAGAATGTCTCATAATCATTGCACTAGAATGGCAATTTCTTTGCCTTTTTCATTCTCTATCCTGGTATATTAGTTAGATACCTTCATTTGGCACAATATGTATTGACTCTACAGAGGGGATGAACGATATGGGAGGCAGGACACTTGCGCACTGAATGTGCTTGGTTGGAGGATGGCCTGCCCGAGTTCCTGGAAGTCCACCCACTGAAGTTACGACACGCTGGCCATTTTTTGATAGAAAGTGACTCTGCATCTTTTCAAAGGACAAGTCTGTGCTTTTGCAGTCGATGCTCATTAGAGGAACCCCATCTTTGCCTGATTAAAAGGCGGAGACTGAGCACTTGCGTTTCGCATACATCGCCTAGCTTCGCCACTGAAAAAATTGGGACTGTAACGTGCAAGTGGAGGGGTTGACGAATTACCATGTACCGTTTTCAAAATATATGACGAAGGGGTGGTTGACAGCGTGATAGGCAGTTCGATCGACGGCTAAGATCTACTAGTGTGACTGTATATGAGGGGCCGTTGTCCGTCCACGAATGCATGAGGGAAAAGTTTTAAGATGGCACGAGCAAATTCCACGAGACTAAGAGAGCATCGACTGTACTGTCAGCCGAAGTCCACGGTTCTCGGAAAAGTCATGGGCACTTTGGTTTTGGCGAACCGGGGATGGGCACGTCAGCGTCGCTTGCAAGATGCTCCCCGTTCGGCTTCTCCCGAACCGCGCAGTCAACACCAGTTTGCCTTTAGGAGTTTCGGTGGAAGCTTCGATGCCTTCAGAAATATCTTGCGCAAGTTCATTCGTGGAAAGTTGCGCGTGGAAAGTTGCAAGTGCCTGTCGCGGGGTCAAGTGTCGTGCTTCTGTGCCCTCTAAGGGGTAGAGACGTCTCTGATACGTTTAAAGTACGTCATGATTGGGCAAAGTTGAGTTGATTGAATGTTCCAACCAAATTTGATGCGTCCTGGTAAGCACCAAACTACACCTAGTCCGCGGTGTTTTAACCACCCGAACGTTTTTGTTTCAAACATCCTGAGTGCATTTTCGTTCAATGGGATGGGCACCCAGAGACTTCGGGGATATTATAGTACAGCCGGGAATTTTCCGTTTGACAAAACCCACACTTAGGGATCCGATATAGGGGGAAAATTGGCAGTAACAGAGTTGCAACTCCGCACCTCGCGAAGGGCACGCATAATTCTACCCTTATAAATGTTTTAAACTACCTTTTTATTCAATCTTGACCACGGAGTAGTACCCCCGCGTGGTTAAGATAGCGGACTAGGTGTATCTGAAATCAGTGAGCACGCCTCCCCGTTCACGCCATTGGCCCACCCTCTCCTGCTGCTGAGCTGAGCCCCTTTCCATTCGTTCCCAAGCCTAAACCCTGGAAAAGCCTTTCGGCACCACACTGGAACCCGTCAAAACGTTCTGCATCACTAATAAACTGTGTAGAACATCCACTCTAAACCAATTACAGCAGCTCTCCAATCTCCAACATACAGCTCTGACTAATTCCCCCCAACGAGCCTCTGCACTGCAGCAGGCCCAATCACCATTTCTCTCTTTCCAAGCTGCAAGCAGCATTGCAGGCGAGTTGCGTTCTCGAATAACCAACCTCCTAGCATTTCAAATACACGCGTAGAGAGTACTCCGCAGTACACATCACCATACGTAGTATACATTTTCCGATGGCGTTCTTGGCAGATAGCGATCCGAGCATGTGGATTGGAGAATCTCGGCTTTATTCCTTTTGACCCCTTACATCCACGTCGGCATCGACGAAGCGTAGTCAGCATTTTGTCAACCACAGTGACGTGATCGCATCACTGTAGCAGTGCACCAAGCTTCGCGGCGGCTTGCTACCTCTCTGCGCTGGCTCTAAGTGCCGCCCATACCCATCACGCTCCCCTCAGGGAAGGCTTCCCCATTTCCGCAGCGCTCACGCTCCACAGACTACACAGTACTCTCGACAAGTTCATCACCCGCAAAGGAGATGCGCGTGACGACTTACCGGCCCTAGGGTACGGAAAATGCCCCGCGAGTTCACACCACCTCCGCGTCGTGGTGCTGCTGACTAGGAGTATGCATGTAGCTCCGAGTCGTCAATTATCAAAGATTGAGCATGTGTGGAGTGGAGAAGCGGGGCATGAAGCGGGGCACGTGACGTGGGAAAGGTACACGTGCTGGGTGAAGACAACGTGGAAGCCAGAATCTAGCCATTTGTCCAGCTCAGCATGCTGGGAGGGGTTGGATTAAGACAACGGAGCACGGTGTGAAATTACTGGGTGTGAAAATATAAAAGAAAGAGGTGTACAGTAGTGGAGGACTCGTGGAAAGCTTGTGGCAGAAGACTCATCAAGCCCACGTGACGCGTCTTGTCGTCTCCTCTCACGACACGAGTGGGTGTGGCCCACGGCTCATCATGCGAGGCGCGCCGCAGCTCTCCGCTCCGCCGATGATCGCTACGAGTCCGCTCCGCAGTAGCCGCAGGCGCGCACACGTCGGGAAGAATTCCCGTGCGCGTCGTTCTTACCCCGCGAGAAAACGCCGTCGCGACAACGCGAGTGCCTCGTTTCCGCGCCTCTCGCCTTTCGCCGCGTCACTCGGCTCAGAAAGAGTCAGAGAACCCATAACTGATCTCTTGCGCCCCTTGCGCCCTCTTCCGCCCCTTGCGCCCTCTTCTACCATAAATACGCTCGCAGGCGAATTCCATATCGCCACCTACCGTAGTTCGCTTTCGAATTCGCCCTCCCCCTCGTTTCGCAAGCACTCTGGTAGTGCTAGCAGCAGCACGACTTTCTTTTGAGTCGACTCGAAAGTATCTCTCGTCGACTTTGACTCATCGGCTCACTTGATTTCAATCATCATGGCGAGGTCGCATCGCACGCCGTCGCCCACCGCGACGGGGCATTCGAGAAGGTCGTTCGCGCGTCAGCGTAGCGGCGATAATGGCGGCGCTTATGGCTCCTCGACGAATGTCGTCATGAGCTGCAGCCCCGCGGCCACCCTCGAATTCCCCGCCTCCCCTTCCGCCTCCCCTTCCGCCTTCCCTTCCGCCCCCGCGTGGCCGCACGTGTCCCAGATTCCTCCTGTTGACTCGATTCTATGGCCGTCCGATGCCGCAAGATTCAACACAAACGGCGGAGAGTTATTCCCCGCGTTTCACTGCGGATTTCCCGCTGAAGGAGGAGCTGCTAATGGTCCCGCGGCAGCCGACGTGGCGCTTGGGGATTGGTTGAACAAGGCAGCGGCATCAGCGGCGGTTGAAACGGTACCAATGGTGGTGGAGCGGAGACAGAGGCGGTCGCTGATGCAGCAGTGGTTCCACGATGCTCCTCATGGGCTCATTCCGCCCGCCTTCCCTGAAATCGGCCGAACCAGCCAAGTCAACCAAATCAACCAAGTCAACCAAGTCAACGCCGGATTCAACGCAGTCAATGCTGTCATCACGTTCAGAGCATCGAGCAGAGTCAACGCGGTCAACACAGTTCACACGGTCAACACGGTGATAACTGGCAGTGCCTGCACTGAACCCGAACCTGCTGACGCCAATGTCAGACTCCTCCAAGCCTCGGAGCCAGCTCTGGAATTGGAATCCGAGCCTGCAACTTCGGTTGAGCCTCTGAAAGACAATGCCTGTGGACACGCAATCCCAGCAGCAGAGGAGAGGGAGGTGCAAGTTGGGGAGGTGGAGATGGGGGAGGTGTTGGGGCGGCCAGTGGAGGACATTCGGCGGAGGTGGCTTCTGTTGAAGAAGGAGATAGGCAGGGGGCAGTACGGTGTGATACGGAGATGCGTGCACCGCAGCACCGGGGAACACGCTGCCTGCAAGAGCATCCGGAAATCCGCGTTCCAGGTGTGTTCCTCCTTCTAAACCCCATACCCTTCTATTTTTTTAACACTTTTTTCTTTTCTTCTCCCTGCCTGTTCTCCATGTCGCCAGGCCTCATTGCCTCTTGTCCCCAGCGTCAGCTTCTGTGTTCCTACCTGCCTTGTGCCTTGTGTATACTGTGCAGGGTGCTGCTGACGTGGAGGCAGTGCAGAATGAGGTGGCATTCGTGGAGGAACTCAAGGGCCATGCCAACATCATCAAAATCAAACAGGCTGTAGAGACGCACAGGGTAAGTTACCCTTTTTTCGTTACCTTTTGCCTGTTTTTCATGTATGGCAAATTACTTAAGGCGACCTAGCCCCTGAACCTGCAGCATAACGTTCATGAATCTTCCATGTTCCTATGCTAGATATTTTCCTCTAATAAAACCCTTTTTGTTGGCATAATAATGTGCCCTGTAGAGGTTACTGACTGTCGCTTACAACTCGACAAGGTTGCTCAAATTTCTTTCCACTCCCCTCTTCCAACCCCTCTTCCCTTTCCCTCCCCCTTCCCCCCCACCAGCACGTGCACGTGGTGATGGAGCTCTGTGAGGGGGGAGACCTGTTTGACCTTATTGACTCGCACGGAAGGCTCTCGGAACCTTCCGCAGCGCACATCTTCCGATCGCTCATGCTGGCCTTGCAGCACTGCCACTCGCACGGCATCGTGCACCGCGACGTCAAACCTGAGAACATCCTTCTATCACAACATGCTTATAACGAGGATACTGAAGGAGCTGATATAAACGGCTGTGAAGTCAAGCTGATTGATTTTGGATTGGCCGCTAGGCGCACTCCGGGTGTGGCTCTATCGGGGGCGGTGGGCACGGCAAACTACATGGCGCCGGAGGTTTTTTCTGAGTCGCACGGCGCTGAGTGCGACGTGTGGAGCGCTGGTGTCGTGCTCTTTATGATGCTCTGTGGCTCGTTTCCCTTCTATGGGAACAGCTCCGCGAGCAACAGCAGCAGTGGTAGCAGCAGTATGAAATACGGAGGCAGCAGGAGCAGCAATAGCAGTGATGGTGGTGGGGGTGGTGTGTGGCAGAAGGTACTGGAGGCCAAGTGGGGTGGGTTCAGCCGCAGCCGGGGGTGGCAGGAGCTGTCGTCACCAGCCAAGCATCTCATCATTCGCATGCTCTCTGCTGATCCCACCACCCGAATCAGCGTGGACGAGATTCTCGGTGAGTTGTAGTCTCAGTTTCCTGTCTTTTGGTGAGTTGTAGTCTCAGTTTCCATCTATTTTGGAAGCAAATGGGTTCTTATCGTGGGCCTTGGTTTCATTTGCAGAGCACGAATGGGTCAACACTTGCACAAGATGTTGAGCTGAGTGCTCCACTAACTGATTTTTTCTCCCCCTTTTTTCAAGGGTTGTATCATTTAAGGGGGCTAATAATACACTACTGTGAAGTTCATTAAGATATTTATTAATGTATATGATGCTATTTGTACCTATATGTATCCCCTTACTATAATCAACCATGTCTTTTTGTAGACAACGGTGTGTTGCAAATTCTTATTACCAGTAGCAATGAGTGCAATGGAACGAACAAACGAGGATTGCACTAAATCGCGATAATCATTTACTGTCATACCCCGAATACATGCACACCTGTGCTTATAACAAAACGTGTTTTTTCAGGGGGTTCGTGTCAAACTATGTATATTTGTGTGAGAGGCTGTAGTGAGGCATAGAGTAGGGAGGATATCATTTCTAGGGTTTGTATTTGTACTCTCACCCTTGCTAATCCAACCATTCCGCTGTTCTCACTTTGAGATGGTATCACGAGTAGGTACCATTCCTAACCTAGCTTAGCCCGCCCCGCCCCATTCCCTAGTCTAGCTCGTGCTGTCCCGTTCCTTAGCAGGTCACGCCCTGCCCCGCCCCGCTCGTAAGCAGCCGCGCATAGCGCTCTGCCCTGTCCCGTCCTGTACCCTCGCGCTGCCGGCCTTGCGCTGCCCGGCCCGCGCTACCCGCCCTGTTCCGCACGTCCCGAACAACCGCCTTGCGGTTGCAGGCGTGCGGTTGCAACCGCGCAGGCGCTGCTGCCTGCAGGCAGCCGTGCGCACGCCCTGCTGCCCGCGCTGTAGCAGCCGTCCGCACAGCAGCAGCTGCGCGCACAGCCACAGCCGCGCGCACAGCCACAGCCGCGCGCACAGCCACACCTGCGCGCGAAGCAGTAGCAGCCGCACGCGCCACTACAGCCACGTGCGCCCCTGCTGCCGCACGCACAGAGCCGCACAGGAGCAGCCGCACACGCACAGCAGCCGCAGCCACACGCACCAGCAGCCACGCGCGCAGCAGCAGCCGCACTCACAGCAGCAGCCGCCCGCGCAGCAGCCTCCACTCATGCAACAGCAGCCGACCGTGCAACCGCACGAGCAGCACCTACCGCACCCGCAGCTGCAGTTGCACACGCCCTGCACCCCTACTTGTTGGTTCTGACACGCCTCTTGCATAGGCGTTCCTCGCAGCGGCTGGCAGCCGCAGTTGAATCTCCTGACCGCGACTTAGGTTTTACCTCTCACTGTTCCTAGGCTAGTCCTCCTGGATCCGTTCGTTACTAGCCTCGCCAGTTTCTAGACCAGCCCTCTGGCCTCGCTTCGTTATTCGTTTCGGCTACTCCTAGCCTAGCCACTCTGGCTTAGTTCGCTACTCGCTCCGGCCGTTCCTAGCCTATTTCTTCTGGCGCCGTACGCCCTTCGTTCGTTTCTAGCTCCGGCCGTTCCTAGCCTTGCGCTACTAGACTGGTAGCCCTCTCGGTATGGCGTCCACTCAAGTCCTGCGTTTTGATGCGGAGGACAGAGCACTAGACTTCCCCTCCAGGCTCCTCTGTGCCGAGCGTTTCCTTCGAAGTCTGCGCCAGGATAATGATACCCTCTGGGCCCACGCCTCTGGTGACCTGCCTGAGCCCCCGCCCCCTGTTGCCCTGCCGGACAAGCCTACTGACACCAACCGGGAGCGCTTTGACAGGGCCTGTATAGCTCTCTTGGTGTGGCGGTCTCATGACGCGGCGGCTTGCATTGCGCTCGGCAGCCTTCTCCCTGAGTTTGAAGAGGATCACTTCACCTAGGTTCGATCTGCCAAGGACTTGTTTGCAGTGATTAAGGCCTGTTACTCCACTTGGTCGTCTCTTCCTGCCGTTCCTTTTTCCCGACCTAGGAGCGTTTGACCGCACAACTGACCTTATCACCCACCTGCACTCGCTCGGCACTAGCTACAGTGCTGCTTGTTCTTAGGCTGAGCTTGTACTAGCCCCCCCGCCCATGGCGACCACCATTCACTTCATCGTCACTAGCCTCCCTTACCGCCTTGCACCTGTACGCGACGCGCTTCTTTGGAAGCACCCTAGTGCGCTCACTATCGATGTCCTTGAGACAGCTCTCAAGGACGTTAGGAGCAACATCCACTCCGTTGCCTCTGCTTCTGGCGCCGTAGTTCCCCCGCTCTTTCAGGGGTGTACTGTCCCACAGCTCCCCACATTCACTGCTTCTCTTGCCTCGACTGCATCTCCTGCTTCAGACGAGACTACGGTCGTGTCCACCACAGGTGGGCGGCCCAGGGGCAAGGGAGGTAAGAAAGGGGGGAGGGGTAGTGGCACTGGTGGTAGTCGCGGGGGTGGCGGAGGTGCTGGTGGCACTAGTCCGTCTGGTGGAGGCGGCACTAGAAGTCTTGGGCTTGCGAGCCCGATGGAAGGGGGTGCTGGAGCAGCTGCTTGGTACACGGCACAGCAGCAGCAACAGTCCAAGCAGCAACAGCCGCAGCATGGATAGCAGCAATAGCAGGGACAACCGCAGTGGCAGGTGCAGCAGCAGCCTTAGCAATGGGGTCCTGGTGGACTAGGGAGTGCTGGTCGTGGCGGTGGTCCACCCAGCTGGGCGCCGCATGGTGTCACCTCTCCTCCCTGCCCGTACGTTGTTCAGACGAGCGCTCGTCAGGGTCAGCACTGTGGTCGTTTTCAAGTTCTGGGTCAGTGGTTGGTGCAGCTTACGGACCGCGTCTGCGCCCGGTACGGCTACGTTCCCACTCCGGACTGGGCCCCACTCGCTCGCTCTTGTGGTCCTGCCTTGTGGGACATGTCTGCGGTAGAGCTAGTTGATGCCATGGGATCTGCTTCTATGATGTATGCCGATGTTGACTATAGTGTTGCTGGATCTATTTGCTCGCGTTTTTGTAGATTAGGATCCTTGCTTGTTGCTAGTGTAGGTGCTAGCACTTCTAGTTTAGGTGCTTGTGTAGCTACTAGACCAGGTGCACCTACGGCTGACGCATCGCTCTCTTTCACGCTTGACTCTGGTGCATCTCAGTGATTCTTCCACAACCACATGACTCTCACGCCACTTCCTGCTCCGGTTCCGGTTGCACTGGCTGATCCTAATTCAGGACCAGCAGTTGCACGCAGCTCTACCACCCTCCCATGCCCGGTTGCCCCCTCTGGTGTCCTCTCTGGTCTCAACATCCCCTCGTTCTCCAGGAACTTGGTGGGTGTTGGACACATTTAGGACCTCCACGTAGGCACATGGTTTCCTCTGTCTGAGCGGGTTGCGATATGCGTGGACGGTGACACCTTCTCTACCCTGGCCACGTTTCGCCGGGAGCCTCGCTCCGGACTCTTCAGGTAGCTGCGTCTCGTCAGGTTGCTGCGTCTGGTCAGGTTGCTGCGTCAGTCGCTCACTCACCCGACAGTTCTGTGGCATCACCGTCTTGGTCACCCAACCCTCCCACGCCTTCGTAGCATATCTAGTCACTCCCTCTTTTGCCTGCGCCGACATGCACTCCTTGTGTCGAGGGTCGGCTGCGCGCCACTCATCACTCCTCATCCCTTCGTCCGGCCACCGCACCCTTCCAGACTCTCCACTTGGACATCTGGGGCCCCGCCCCTCACTCTAGGCTCGAGAGGGAGAGCTTCTTTCTGGTGGTCATGGACGACCACTCCCGTTACACCAAGGTGTTCCCCCTGGCGAAGAAGTCCGACATGACTTGTACCCTGATTAGGTGGTTACTGGCCACTGAGGCCACTCGTGGTTGTCGTGTCCGTTGTCTCCACTCCGACTGTGGGGGTGAGTTTCACTCCCGCATTCTTCGCGGTTTCTGTAGCGAGCAGGGCATCACCCAGTCCTAAGCGCTTTCGAAGTCCCCACAGCAGAATGAGGTTGTTGAGCGCCGCATGAGCTTGGTCATTGAGATCACCCGAACCTCCATTATCCATGCCCATGCGCCCCATTTTATGTGGCCCTACGCGGCTCGCTACGGCGCCCACCAGCTGAACCTCTAGCCTCGTGTCTCACGGCCAGGGGCTTCACCGACCATTCTTTGGACCAGATCCCCCGGTGTTGCGTCAGAGTTTCGTGCCTGGGGCTGCCTTGCGCTTGTCCGCGACACCTCTGCGGACAAGCTCCCAGCTCACACCATTCCCAGTGTCTTCCTTGGTTTCCCGGTGGACGCCCCTGACTTTACGTTTTACCACCCGCCCCTCTACCGGTTTCCCAACATTCGTGCGACTGCTTTGACGACTCTGTGTCCTACTACGCCCACTACCCCTGTCGAGGTCTCCCGGTTCCCCCCCCTCCTCTTTTCCTCGCCCCCGCTCCTCCTCCTGCTCCTGCTACTCCGGTACACCCGCCCCCCGCTGGTCCTTCCCCATCAGGTGTGTCCCATGCTACCCTACCCCTCTCCCCTTGATAGCACGTCAGGTACTGCCTCCTTCCCCACAGTCGTCCTCGCAGTCACTACAGCAGCGGCACTACAACGACAGGTTGCAGACGACTCTGGGGGTGTTGGGGCTGGAGGCACGGGCGCTGGAGGTGCTGTTTCTGAGGGTGCTGGAGCTGAGGGTACTAGCGCTGGAGGTGCTAGTTCTGAGGGTGCAGGAGCTGAGGGTGCTGGCACTGGAGGTGCTAGTTCTTGGGGTGCTGGAGTTGGAGGCACTGGAGTTGCTAGTTCTGGGGGTGCTGGCACTGGAGGTGCTACTTTTGAGGAGACTGGCGTTGGAGGCACTACTTCGGCAGCGCCTACCCCACCTCCCCACCTCTACCCGGCGCGTTTCCAGGAGCTTCATCAGCTGGAGCGTGAGGAGCAGGAGTGGTTGGAGAAGGAGAGGCTGGAGCTGGAGCAGCAGCAGCAGCAGACGCCGCAGCCGTCAGTTTTGCAGTAGTTGTTTCCGCCTATGAGTGGCCTCCGGACCCTTGGTCTGCCTTCCTCCTCCCCGGACCACTCACCGCCTCCTACTGCACACGGCCTTCCCCCTCAGGATTCATCCCTGGCTGTCTTCTCTCCTCCTCAGTCACCATCGTATCTTCCTGTTGTCCCGCAGTTCTGGACCCCTTGTCGTCCCTCCCGTGGTTGTCCCACGTCTCCTGTTTGCGAACTTCATAATGTCTTGTTGCGTTCGAGTCCTTGTCGCTCTCCACCTCAGTCTATTCTCCGGCCACCTCCTGAGTCGTCCCTTATAGCCTATCATTGACTACTACCGCACAGCTCGTCATGTTGTCGCCCGTGTTCTCGCCTCTCTTGTCACGTCGTCTGTCTCGGTTCTTGTTGCCTCCGTCGCTGACTCTGCCACCACCCACTGCCTTAACTACGCCACCCGAGTGGTGGCTGCCCGTCTTCTATCTGCCGGGGGTGAGTTTGCCCTTGGATGTGACGTCCAAGAGGATAGGCAGTTTGAGCTGGAGTTCCTGGCAACCGCTTCTCCCTATCTCTGTGCCATGCTGCTAGCCCATGAGGGAGACCCCGACGCCTTTGACATACCGACTCCTCGCACATACCGTGAGGCAGTGTCAGGGCAGTGGGCCTCTTTGTGGATAGCGGCCGTGGACTCAGAGGTGACGTTTTGGAGATCCACAGGCATCTACGTCGACGCAGTTCCCCCTCATGGGGCGAACGTAGTCTACAAGGTGAAGCAGCTGCCTGGATCGCCGCCTGTCTTCAAGGCGCGTTACATAGCTAGAGGCTTCAGTTAGCATAAGGGAGTTGACTTCTTCAAGACCTTCGCCCCGTCCCCAAATATGACCACTCTTCGGGTGTTACTTCACGTTGCAGCAGATCAAAACTAAGAGCTACACTCCCTCGACTTCTCCACTGCCTTTCTCCAGGGCCGCCTACACGAGGAGATCTGGCTATGCCGTCCTCCTGGCTTCATTGGCACTTTTCCGCCTGGGACCCAGTGGAGCCTGAAGCGACCAGTCTACGGTCTTCGCCACGCGCCCCGTGAGTGGCACGACACGCTACGCACCACTCTTGCTAACCTCAGGTTCCGTCCTTCGTCCGCCGACCCATTGCTGTTCGTTTGTTCTGTGCCCACACCTTTCTTTGTCCTCGTCTACGTTGATGACTTGGACTTTGCTACAGCAGACAGGGCCGCTATGGCTGCGGTGCAGTCCGAACTGCAGAAGAGACACACATGCACTGACCTTGGTGAGCTGCGCTGCTACCTTGGCTTGTGG